AAAAATAACAAGATACCATAGTTGCAGTCGAAGATTACATTATCGTCTGTGAACATTCAGTCATGTTGCAAAGAGCAAAATTTCTATTTTAATACTTGTCAGTTGTCTTTTTCTTAACTCGGTTTTGTTATAGATTTTACGCTTTTCAGGTTACGGCATACCTGTTTTACTTATTTCCCCATTTTCACTCGTGACTTTTTTTTCATGCGAATCACAACGGATGCCATTTATAAAACAGGGTCGAACACGTGACTTGAATTCACCGGAACTCGTGTGTACCATTCATCTGTTATTGTAAGCAACATGTTTGTCCTTGAAATAAGAAAGAAAACCTTTTACGTCAATTCTCAATTTGAATGGACATTATTTTTTACTATCTTTGATTTGTATTATATAACGATTATGATTTGGTTGTAGAAATCTATCTGGAAACTTACATTTCTTGCCAATTATCCTGTGGGATTCTTTAATTTTGTAGTAATTATCCTTATTAATATAATTATTGCTACTATTTAGTCGTACTGCCAATAAACAAATTAATTTGGCTCTCCATCTCTAAGTTCTGTAAATTACTAAAAATGCCAGAAAACATTAAAGTACTAATTCTAAGTGAAATAATGGACAACATACAGCTATCATTTTTTCGATATGAGATTAAATAAATTTGCCTAAAAGTTTATTTTTATGCGCGTAAATCACATCAAATCAACAAAATCTAACATGTTATAAGTCATATTTTCGTTTGGTTATTATTTTCCGCTAAGGAAGACATTTTGCTACAGTCATTGCACAATTTTATATTTAATTTCTCTCCTAAAGTAAGCAGACAGATTTTTATTTGTGGTCTCGCTTGAAAACAAATCTCAGAAAGAGACGTTTATAAATCTTTCTTATATAACTCCAAAGATTGAATTAGACCATGCGGAAAATTATAGAAGTCACTTGAAATGGAACTTGACAAGCAATGTATTTTTGCGATTAGTGTAATATATAAATTTGTCTGAGTGTATGCTTTTGACACCGCTGCTCATTGAATATCAAATTGTGTCGACCATTAAAAGTTTTATTGCTACTTTTAACTGAAAGTTCACCAATGAATGTTGCTCTTTATGAAATCAGAATGCATTTGATATGGTACTTTCAGTGATATATTAAGTTTATAAATTTCGTGTTGACTTGTTGTCATGACAATCAGAAGGCTGCACTAACTTGCATCAAAGTTTGTGTTGACTTGTTGCTATGATAACCAAAAGGCTGCACTAACTTGCATCAAATTTTGCGTTGACTTGTTGTCATGATAATCAGAAACTGCACTAACTTGCATCAAATTTTTTGACAGTGAGGAAATATATGCGTTCAAGGACATTCAAGGACAAATTCTTTCAATCAGCCGAAATGTTGTTACTTTGTCAGCAATTTTAAAGCATCAAGTCGGACTTTGATTAAACAAAAAAGGCACGAAAAATGGGCTGCACGTGAAAGGATTTTGTTTCTTGCACATTTATAAATATTTGAAAAAGGGTGAACCGAGTCTTTTTATAGATGAATACCAATGTGTGTTCCCTTCGGTCTTTGGAAGTATTTGTTCTAAATTGAACTTTTCTCCAATTTCTTCATAGATTTTTTTTCTAGCAGAAGATTGATTCAAAGTTAAACAATCAATGGTTTTGGTGACATTTATTTCGTATTTTCTAAATTGGATTGATTTTTGGAATGTGAAGGATGATAAAACATATCTAAATTGTAAATATTTATACTGAAAGATCTTAATCATTTATCTGTCATAGTGCGTGAACCATGAAAGTGACCACTACATGTATAATTATGATAATATGGAAATATGCTTAGTGATTCGAAATTGTCAGAGTAAATTATTTTTCAGATTTGTGAAACAGATACAACCCCCTCCCCCCACCCCTTTTCCCCCCATAAAAAAGTCCCCCTTCGAAAATATGCAGTTGTACCACAATCCTTTTAAACAGCATACTTGAAATTCTACCTTTATGTCGAAACGTAACACTATTTCAATTTACGTATATACATTTTCTGTCAATTTTTAAGATTTTTAAAATTTTGTCAAATAGTCATAATCATAGTACATGCATATCTTAATTTAATATTGTTTGTGTTCCTCTAGATTTTCGTTTGTTTTTTTTTTCATTTTCACAAAATTTACATATAACAGTAGTCAAGTAAATGATATATGTGTCAAAACCTTAATAGACGTCATAATAATTAGAGTGGGTTTTTTTCTCTAGTTTTTTAGGCGGTCGTTGTCATTTTTTGATGCCTTTTTGGTTTCCAAATTTTACTTCGTGGTGTCAATTAGTCTCTTCGTTTTTCTTCTAGCATATACAAATAGAAAGGACACGTTTATTTGTTAAATGAAATACTCTATTCAGATCCTGGACATGTCCGAGATTGCTCTGATGCCTTTTTAAGAACTGGCTAGGGCCGTGAAAAATTCCCAAGATTGCTTTCGGACTAATCCTGGAGCAAAAATTAGAAAGCATACTACGTAAAAAATTGAACAATTAATGTAACCAAAAGGGATTAAACATTAAAACAATTCTGTTGAAGGTCAGCGTTTGTCTGACCTATTTGCAATACGAAGAATGGGGTGCGAGGGAACAAACTAATAAAACAGCAACCAAAAGTCACAAAAATAGAGAGAAAGAACTCATGTATTTGTACATATTGCCATCCCCATTTGTCACTTAAATCATGTCAGTATTGAACCAATTACTTGCTCTCCGGACGGCACCATAATGGACAGACAGCTCAAAAGTGTTTCCGATCTAGCCTAATTGTACATTTGATTAAACAGATTTCTGCAATATAGAAAAAAATAGTTCAATTCCGAAAAAATGTCTTGATTAAACGCTATTGATCACAGTGTATTCTTGTCATATCAAAACGATAAGAGCATGGTGTAAATGCTTAAGTTGCATGTCGCTGCAAATGTAAAGCAAAATATTTTTCTACGAAATAATCTCCCTCAAGTCATTATTTCATTATAATGTATCATGAAATTTTATCCCTATCTATGAAAAATTGTCCACTGAATGTAATACTGAATTTGTCTTATTGGACATAATTTCATAGATTGAAAGTTCTGAAATTTTGTCTCGGTAAAGGAAGATAATCAAAATTTACATTTTGTGTATACTGAGACAGTACTTCATGGATGGAATGTCATGAAATTTTGTCTTATGAACAGGACATTATAAAAATATTACCTTTGACAATGATATAATTAAAGTGTTTTATTTCATTAATAATAAAAAAGCATATATTATAAGGGACTGTCAAGACTTTGCTTATATTAAAACAGTATAATATAGTACAATTATCATATTTGACTTTAATCATTTATAAATGCAAATTTGTATTTAGCTTATCATAAAATATATGTTTGTTTGTTATATAAAATACTTGCCTTACAAAATATTTTCAATCATAAATAAAAACATATGTGCATTTTTCATGTTTGTGACCTAAACATGTTAGTTGATGCAGCATATTTCAGAAACGCAATCACAATTTCATGGCGTATGATTCCTCAGGGAAGAAGTACTTAGGAAACATTATCATTAACAGTGTTTCACAGGGAATTATTGTCCGGGAGAACTTGACAAAATTTCATAGAGAAGGACACTATTTTATAATGGAAACATTGTCCTGGAAGTCTTTCATAATGAAATAATGTATGCATTACAAACGAAAGACCATGAGTTGAATGCGAATAAATACATGATATAGATCTATACATATATATACCTAGAGTTCTCCCATCCGGCATTAAAACAAATGCTATTGATGGGAGTCTCTTTGAATTTGAATAAATACGCATTCATGTTCAGTTGGTGGCGTTAAATATCATGCCTTAATGTATTTAGAGAGTGCAACGCTTCATGTTCAAGAATCTGCGCAACAACTTTTTGAGGGGTCTGTGGCCTTCATCAGGCAATAATCTTGCTCTTTTCCAAAATACCCTCAGTCTAACTTCCACGCCCTTAAACTTGGTCGACCAACTTTACAGAATCATTCTATAACTGTCTTTATTGTCGATTTTTGTTCTCGTTTTGTTATATTTGTCACTGGACGTTAATCAAACAATAATCAACAAACAAACAAAAAGACCAACCATAGCATAATTATTTGTCTAAGTATAAACATGCACTTGTTTTTATACACACATTTAAACGAGAATGGTCGCTACACCTGAAAATTGTATCATAGGATCGACTGGAAAAACGTTTCATCATACACGGATGTTATTTAGTGATAGAAATGTTCGCAGCAGTTCAGTTGACATGAGGAATATAAAGGAATAACGTATTGATACAAAATGATCAAGAATCAGATGACATGCCATTTCACAAAATAATACAAGTTGAGGGCATGTTTATGTGTCTTTCATGACTCTTTCTTCTAAAGTCGTTACTCGTTCTTATGATTCTAATTAATTGGTATAAATGATATGTATTAAGTAGAAAATTTCCCAATATTAGTTATTATGAGATAAAGTGTCGGTAATTTTTTGATTTCCCAAACGTATCGCTTCTAAGAAAGAGGTTTTATTCGTATGTTGATGAATTATTAGAAGTTTTTTTCTTAGAATGACTTGATATGATTAAACTTTTTCTAGTTGCATTTTCTATAAAGCATACAACAGCGAAGTACACCAACAGACATTGTAAATATACCTATGGAAAATCCGTCATGAAAATTATCAGTATAAGAAAACAGTTCCACTTGATATTTAATTAATCGCCTAACCGCAAATTGAGAGGGAATTTTATTGAATCAAATGACGGGTACGCCTTTTAAAATAATCCATGGTACACATCTCATTAGATCAGTTACTTATTTCGTTTGTTACGTGGTTTCGATTTTAGTGTTTTATTTTTAACCAAACACGATCATGACTTTATCATATAAAATCATTATATGTTGATCATGTATGAATATGTAATTGTTCATTAAGAGACGTGAAATCAACATCGCATTACTATTGGCAATATCCGGTTCTCTCTGTCGTGGGAGTTTGACGAAAGACGAATTATCATGTAAATTTCTGTTAGGATTTGTAGTAAGGGACTAGATTATTGAGTAACGCTTTAAAAGAGTAAAAAGTGGCATTAACTTTAAGTTAGTAAATTTGTTTATTTTATTAATGCTATAAAGATTGAAATTTTCTTTCTTTTTGTGACATAAACTTTTGGAATAAAATTTTCATATAGAACCAGAAAATACAGATACTATTGAAATAGGTTAAGGTAAGTGGTTGCTCATTTTCTAAACAAAATTAATAAAAATGATAGTAAGTATATGTTTATTAGTTATTTAGTTAAAATATTGTTTCGTGAAGTTATCATATTTAAGTAAAAATATTGTTTCGTGAAGTTATCATATTTAAGTAAAAATATTGTTTCGTGAAGTTATCATATTTAAGTTATAATATTGTTGTGTGAAGTTATAATTGCTGACTAAATAATGCAATACTTACTTTACTTAGTCCTTATTATGCCTGATGGCACATAGGGCAAGGATAAAAAATAATGCAATAGCTATATAGATAAAACAAAGAATTAATCAGCTTTTAAAAACTTTTTAATTCCACTAGAATATACTATTCGAAAAAAAAAGGATATGAAATGAATGTCTTTAAACAAAAAATCTAACGAAGATACTCAATTAATTACTGCGTAGAACAGAGTTGCATTTCATATTAAAACAAATATTTGAATTGGAAACACAATCGGACATCTATTGTTAACAATTGATAAGCCATAGAAATTAACTTATTTGCAGCATTATATTGTTTTACAGTTATTTGAAATGAATTTAATGATTGGAAGGATTACAGTGATTTATAAAAAGACACTACGCGTTCAGTTATATATAGACTAAGCGTACAGTTTTGATTAAAAACGACGTATACAGTTTCGTATATAAAGGTCTCATTTTTCTCTCCTCTCATTGCAATATGATTATATCAAATGATTCTAAATTATAGCATCAATTTTATCCTTAATTATTGGACCTGTGAATGTCGAAGGGAAGGAGGATGTATGATAAAAGCCATTGTTAGGCTTCAGAAATTTCTGTAACTTTTAATATTCTTAAGATACTCTCAAAAGTAATAATTGTATTGATAAATGAATAGGAAAACATCATTTTGACGCTTCAGTTCGTAAAAGTATTACTGTCACTATGACGTCATAAACTTGAAGAAATTAACATATTTAGAAATGGCAATGTTACCAAATGTTTTTGGCATCATTTTTATGAACCATAGCATTACTAAAAAAGATACTTATACCAATTCAGCAGCTTTCAATAAAGGATCTTGTAGCAAGAAAAATATGTTTTCAGTATGCTGTAGCTCGTATTATTGATATAACGTTATATGTCAATAGCTGAAATTCTTACTACTTTGGCATTTTTTTTTTCGTTCTTTATTATGAAAGAAGTGGAAGCCCTCAAGAAAAATATGTAAGTAAATCGAAGATATTTCACTCATACAATGTATCTGACAGATTAAAGCGGTTTGTTTCGGACATTTTACTGGATCTCGTCCTCATGTGCTGGTTATGGAAAGGCTATGTGAAATCTTTTATTGAGTACAACAACCGATAATAGCGTGTTGGATAGAATGATTTCAAATCAGCTGGTCGAGTACATTAAGATTGCTTTAAGTAACTGCGAGACCGCAATATGCTTTGATACGATAAATATAATAGATTTTTCTTTATTGTATATACTATATACCGTTATACCAGAGTTATTAATGCATTTCCTGTGCTGATTTTTTTTAAACATTCTTTTTGAAAGGGGGAGGGCTGATATCGAAAATACTCGCTGCTTTAGCATGTCCTAGGACAGGAAGCTCGTCAGTGGTTTTCGTGTCATATGTTAATGATTTGTTTTGTAAATTTGAGAATTTGGTGTTCAAAGCAGATCGTGGACAGTTCCTGTTTAATTTATTCAATACGGATACACAGAATAAAAATGAAAACGTGATCAGATGAAAAAATTTTACAAGCGATACGACATGGAATAAATGAATAGACAATGTAAAACGGAAAGAATATCTTATATGTACTAAGCAAATTCTTACATAGTGTGTTTCAAGTATATCATTGCATGTTAGATTCGTAAATGGGGGCGGTTCTGTGATTGATCGTTTAAGGAAAGAAAAGATTCAATCTTTTACCTATGATCAAATTTAAAACAAGTCAATTTTTAAAGAAAACACCAGCAAGACTGCATTTTCTAAACGAGTGATCATCCTTTTTAATATCATAAAAAAGACAGAAAATAATAGAAATGATCAACAAGTATAGATATTCAGATGTTTAGGACGGTTATTAGTATACCGTATTTCACACTTTTTACACTATCAGTAGACTTAGTAATAAATACCAATTTTGCAAAATGCAACTCAAAAAATAGTTATACAGAGGACAGGGGTGGATCCAGGTTTTTTCAAGGGATCGCATAATTTCATAAATTGGTAGAAATAGGTAGAATTTTTTTTGACAATTTTATACAACCATATTTTCCAACCAAAGGGAGGGGAGGGGTGGAACGTCCTGTACGCCCTCGTGAATCTGCCACTGGAGGATGAGTTATTAAAGTCGCCGTTAAACACAAATTAAATCCTATTTACAACATCAATTAACATGTAAAGGTTTAAGGTTGCACTTCTGTAAATATAGACAATGTGATTTCCCATAGGAACTCCTTTTAAGGCTAAAATTGTGCCATTTTCACTATGAAATTTCGTAAAAAATTATATCCTAAAATGGAAAGTTCATATGTACTACTATTTTTTTCAGAGGTTAAAACATATGGCTGTGCGACATATTTTCAACATTTATATGCCTCGAACTTCTTAAGAGTATAAACTTATACTAAAAGTAAAAACTATGTACAATCCCTGCCTTCACTTTGGGTCTTCCTCAGAATTCAATTTGTCCGCTATCCATGTGTATTTAAGCTGGTAAAGTTTCCAAGTTGTGTCTATGAGATGAAACATAGAGATCATATCTTGGAACCAGTAGGTAAACAAAACAAATTTCTATGAATATTATATATCTCCCCAAAAGAGTCGTAGTTTTTAAATCAGCTGTATTTACAAAGTGCAACCACAAAGTAAAATTAATGTGGTAGTTTGCATCAGTGGTGAATTTGTTCTCCATATCTCTTCTTAGGCAAAGGCAAAACTTCATGAAAAAAAGTTTGATATTAGTTAAACTGTAAAATCCACATGAATAAGCATCTTTATTAAAATTTCATCAATATCAAATTAGTTTGATTGATTGAGTGTTGGTTGCTCAACGTCCAGTCTCAAATGTTTCCTGCATGTTCAGGACGAGAAAAAATTAACAATATAGACAAGAGTTAGGTCCTGCAATAGAGTCCGGGATGAAGGTCGAGGAAACTTTGACAGCCACTGTAAAGTGAGGATATATTGGATATGGACAGATTTTTCAAAATTTCATTGATAACACTCAGACACATAAATGTGTTACACGAGGACAAAGTATAATACATAAACAATAAAATTTAATAGCAGAAGTTGCGATCTGTATTGATATAAGACTTATTATGAAGCAACATATCAGACACATATTTGTGTAACATGAGATACAAAAATTAATATACAATAATTAACATAAAATATTATTAAAAATATAATTAATTGAACATTTATAAAATTATACGAAACAAGGTATTAATACATCACCATAGATTATTGAGGTTTCCAATAAAAGATGACACCTGTCTATATAAATTAACATTGCAATGCGATTACATGACTGCTAACTTCTATTTACTTGGAAATTTCGTATAATAACTAAGGGATCATTTTTTTCCTCTAACGTTTACCAGTTGTTGAGACTAACATATGAAAAGATATTGAAATTCGTCTCCTATATTTTCGTTCTATAGATTACATTTTCGTTCCTCCGCCGGAATGTAATGCTAATGCCCAGTTTATATGGGAATCTTAAGTTAAAGTTACATGTTCCTCTGTCATTCAGATTCTTGCAATTTGCGGAATATTGTTTTTTTTTAATAATTGAAAGCCAAAGATCGTATTACAGATTTACATATAGAATTGATGTATAAAGGACAAAACACATAGGAAATAGCTGTGAAATTAAAATTTTATACATACTTAGACGTCCGATGACCTATAGTTAATTATCGTTGTCTCATTGGTAGTCATACCACATCTCCTTATTTTATATTAGGTGCATTGTAAAAAGATATTTTGTAGTAAAACGTCTTCATTTTGCTTCATTTAGAAAGAGGTTTCCCGAATGAATGCGTCTTATTACTTTAACAGACGTTTGAAAAATATATGTACTTGGAAGTAGATTGTTGTCAACTGCACATAAGGTCGTTGGTTCTCTCCACGCATTCCGGCTTTCCCAACCAATAAATACTGGCCGCTACGATATAGCCAAGAGTACTGAAAATAGCGTTAAACAACAACAATTATCACACAAGTGTTATCTAATCTTTTATTGTTATAGATTCGAACGCCAAATTCCGTTTACAAATACAAATACAGCATTAGGAACATAAAAAACCGTGAGAATATTACAAAAAAAGAAATTTCAACAGAAAGAATAGTTTAAACAATAAATAAAGGAAAAGTAATGAATTGGTTCCATTTTTTAATTCAATTTTTAGTAACAAAAAAGAGGCATGCCCTATATGTAGATGTCAACATAATCTTCAATAAACTGCTTTTCCAAAAGACAACAAAGTTCATGAAATAAGTAATAAAATTTATGTTTTGGGACAAGATACGGTTGTTCTTTTCATACTACAAATTTAAAACTGTTCCAAATCATTTTTGAATATGAAGCGTACGACATAAAGTTTCCGAAAACCTGCATTTTTTTCACAACGTCATAGATTGAACTATATACGGAAACACATATCAACGTCAGAAACAAGGCTTTTAACGGACAGTGACTGCATAGAAGGTATACGTTTATACGGTTTATGCTTTTTGGTTACTAAAATAGCAGTTTCAATATAAAAGTTTTTTTTTAATAATAAAGCAACGTATGCGGAAGCAGTCAGTTGTAAAAATATTAAAGAAAACCAATTCAATAATCTAAAAATATAAAAAGCAAACTTAGAATTCAGTTAGGTAATCTCCTAAATTGGTATAGAAATTACATCAAACAGATACTGGGTTATGCATTCCTGTTTCATAATTGGATATCAACGATTTATGTTTCTTTTCCAA